CATCGTTTCAACCAGGGTTTTTATGCCGAAAGGCTTTTCCCTGACGAGCCAAATAAAGCGTACTTTTTAGTACTGACTGGGCTCAAATAAAGTTGTTATTGAGTTTTTATTTTCCTATCCTCCTTCCCATTAATAAAGAATCTCGACATCACCCGTAAGGGCATTTTTCGATTCACTACTCTCCACTGGAGTACCAATTAAGGCATCGGTCGCATCAACAATGTGCATATATTGAAAATTATACTATGGTGTGTTACTTTTCAGTAAAATCACCGGTGTTACTTCAATTCTATTTAGATGCACTCATTGTTATTAATATTGTTATTTAATATTCAAACTTTTCACTATATTTTCGATAATTAATGTAACATTTTTAGAATGTAACTTATAGGGTGGTGCTTAAGAATGAGGTTTTCTTACAAATCGTTCTCTGTTAGATCATTTTCTTTCATTTCAATATTATTCGGATGTAAAAAATTTCACTTTAAAAGGCCCACTTTTCCTCTTCTTTCCTACCCCTTTGTTTTTTTGTTGCAGGTTACATAGGAGGAGGACCAGCCGAGGACCAGCCGAGGACCAGCCGAGGACCAGCCGAGGACCAGCCGAGGACCAGCCGAAGACCAGAAGAGGACTTAGTTATAATAAAGTATAGTATAAGGTAATTATTTGTATAATTACATGTGTATAATTAAATAAATAATTAAATGTATAATTTTTATCTGTTTATTTTTCTCTCTGTAGCATCGCACGCGTATGATAATTATTTCTTATGTATTTTTAATGCATTTTTAATGTATTTTTAATGTATTTTATTTGTATTTTATTTGTTTATAGGTTATTTCAATTCTATTCGTTTCACTTCTTGTTGATCATTTTGTTATTGGGTATACAAACTTTTCTCTTAATTCTCGATAGAAATTGTAAAAATTTTTTGAATTTAACTCTTAGGGTGGGGCCTAAGAGTGGAGCTCATTAAAAAACGTTCTCGGGGTGATCATTTTCTTTGGTTTCAATTTAATTCGGATGGGGACATTTTCAGGATGCACATCCCGGATCTTCAAAAGCGGTTACCTCCTCGTGGTTAGACCCAGGCAATGGTATTTTATTTTCAGTGTAATGTTTATTATATTTTATATGCTATACATTCCATTGCAAGTAAAAACCAGCTAAAGACCGCTTACCATAAAAATTATAATTATAATTAGTTTCTTTCATTCTCCTAATTAATATCATATCCTTATTCCTTTCTCCCCTTGCTTCCTTTTATCCATTTAATATACAGAAACTAATTACTTTATAATGTTTTAACTAATTTATAATTTATAATGTTTAACTTTTATGTATTTACAGATATCAGGGAGTAGTCAAAAATTGTTGAAATTTAAGTTGCGATTTATAAAAGAGATTGCATTCAATTCATTCATTGCATCTTTACAGTTCTAGAATAAAACTTTTCTTTTGCAGGTTTATTTGTTAAATCATAGCTGCAATGGATAGATAGTAGGCTTTTTCTTTCTAAAGAATCGTCAATAAGATATCACTTTATACATCCTTGATAATGTTGCTCTTACGAACTCGTAATATATTCTTTAAAATTTTACATATCTATTATCCAACTTTAAAATATTAACTATCTATTATTTTACTTTTGAATATTAATTAATTTTGATCTTATGTTTTATTAGATAAAAATTTTCTCAATAAAAATTCTCACAATATCATGAAGAAAATTTTGATATATAACATATATATATTGTATATATCAGAAATTTTCTTATTTTCATCGTAAAAAAACTATTACTTTTATTTATTTATTTATTGTTTGATACTTAAGCGGATTTAATAAAAAATAGAGTAGGTATAAAAATGACGTAATCCTAGGATGTAGAGAATTTCATATTCCTTGCTAGGATCCTTAAATAGCATAATATTCAGAGAGACAGAAAGAGAGAGTGACAGAGACATTGGGTAAGGTAGTATCGTTGAATACAAGTATTCGTGAGTGGTAAATATTGGTGAAGGAGTTACGAGGTTTCTCGTGAAATGTCAGGAAGATGAAGAAAGAGAAAGGAAGGTAAAGAAAAGTAGAGAGAGAGAAATAGAGAGAGAGAGAGTAGGAGTAAAGTCTCGTTAACTCGAAAGCTTGAGATGTATAACCTTGGCTTGCAAGTGCTAGATTTTCGCTGCTTTCTTCTCGAAAGTATCTGCTTATTTAAAGAGAGAAAGAGAGAGAGAGAGAAAGAAAGAGAAATTCCAAAACTCCTTTTCTTCTTTTATGATAACTCTTCTGTGAGAGAAGGTACGAGGTGTTCTAAGTATGCAAACAGATGTTGAAACTTTTGGAAAAAGACTTTGCAATTAAACGACAAGTCTACACTATTCTCTTCCGTTTCGTTTAATTCGAGGGTAATATTTCCTTCTTATTATTAACTTCGACACAATGAAAATCTCTTATTTAATTAGAGAGGATATAAAGATAGCCAAAATGAATAGAACTGAAACGAGAAATCTACATTCATCATTTCATTTCACACAGTAACGAATTTTTAATTGCAATATTCTCTTAAATTCAAATAAAATTAAAAAACATATTTTAATGATTTCAAATCTTTTTACAAAATAATATATACAAAAATAGAAATTTGAAAACTTCAAATATAGAGAAATTGATTAAATGGTAGGGTTATCTTGAGAAAAGTTTAAACGTACCTTCGAAAGAGTGGTAGGGTGAGGGTAAAGATTGACGAGACAGCTTTGCCTTCTTAGTCTGTAATCCCAACGTGTCTCCAAGTGCGGTATTTCCATAGTGTCGCAGATGCTCTGCACGTGAGAAGCGGTGTGCGCACTTTGAGGTCCAAAAATTGCAGCTACGCCACTCCGCAACAAATGGCACACTGCAATAAGAAATCGATGATGGTAATATCTACTCTCGTATTTATCATTACGTCATTTCTATATTAAATTATCTACAGTTAAGATAGTAAGTATTTTAACAATATTCATTTCATACAATTTTTATCTTTTTATTTTCCTTCTTTTTACGTACTTGAAACATAAATTTTATTTAGTTATCTAAAGATAAATTTTTAACGTTTATTTTTAATAGTACTTCCGAAAGTAGCCAATTCTATCAAACTTTATGTTTACGTAAGTAATAAAAAAGTAACAAATAACAGAAAAACCCTTAACATATAAAACTTGGAATGTTTATTCTCCGTATTTCCCATTGACCGATTAAACTTTGACCAAAGTGATTTGAACCATGAAGAATAAAGAATTTCGTATTATCCTATATAAAACTTTACTCTTTCTCTCTCTCTCTCTCTCTCTCTCTCTCTCTCTCTCTCTATCACGTGCAATTAATCACGGTAACTCGCTGAAATAAGATCTTTTCTAAGCTCAATGGTCCGAGTTACGTCGTTTCAATACTGTCGAAAAGATCGTCAAAGTGGAAACGGTCAGCGAGATGCGTGATAAACGACGAAACGTAATTTCTTTTACGTCTAAGAAATCGAAGAGAAAAAGTGATAAAAATAGAGAAAGAAAGGGAAAGAAAGAGAGAGAAAGGATATCCTTTTCTTCTTGAGAAGCAAATAAATTCCGATCAATCACTTCCATTCGCTCAGGATTTAATTTGGCGAATAAATGTTTTCGTTACCATAGTACCGGCTGCTCGACCTCGTTTATGGTACATAAGTTTCACATTGATCGCTATAGCACTCTTTCTTTTTTTATTTCTTTCCTTATTCCTCTTTCTCTCTCTTTTTCTTTGATTTTTTTTCTCTATATCTTTCTGTTTTTTCTCCGTGCCGAAGAATAAATCATCATGCTCGAGGATTTTCCGACAGCAAACGCAATGAACTCTGCAGTTCATCTTTCTCTAACCACACTCATCCTTCGAATCTCGAACCAACTTCCCCATTCCTTCTCTCTTTTTCTCTCTCTCTCTTTCTCTCTCTCTCTCTCTCTCACTCTCTATCGTTTTCTCACTTTTTTTCTGTTATTCCACAAATTGCAGGAAGAAAAAGAGATTGGCAAGGAATAAAAAAAAAAGAAAAAAAAAGGTCATTTTCCTTACGATAAAACTTCGCGTCACCGAGTGCCATTGCTTTCAATTGCGTCCATTGTTCGGAATCACCGATTGCGCTTACTGGACAGACATCCACGAATCCCGAGATAAATCACGATCGGATTCTTTTGTCATCGTTAGAAGCACGTTGTCTGTCTATGATTCAAAAATAGAACATAGAAAAAGAAAAAAAACCAATAAAAAAGAAATATGTATATATATATATATAGAAATTGAAATAACGATGATCGATTGCACCAAAAATTGAACCATCGACGTGAACGAACAAAAAAAAAAAGGGAAAATATGAATGGAAAGAATTTTTGCTGAAAAGTGATCGAAAAAAGATTGATTTTTCAATTACACTATGTGCATTCATTCATTGTGAAAAGATAGGTATATACACAATTGTGAGATTAATTTCGTAAATTATTTAAACCATATCTGAGATAATTTTATAATTTTAGAATGTTTATAATTGAACGAAAAAATTGATTTACGATTCTTTCGGATATCAAATGGTATTTTAAAAACTTTTGACAGATTAAAAACATCATTAAAAAATAAAAAATAATATTGAAAATATATAATAAAAAAAAAAGAAAGAGCCAAGTGAAAAAATTAGAAAACAATTTTTCTTTACATTATTTGCAGATTTTCTAAGTGATTTATATAAAACGGAAAACGTTGAATAATCTAGGAAACATTATCGACGTTTAATAGTGTAAACAACATATATAATATATACATATATATATATTTATAATATATTTAAATATGATAATAAGATAGGATAAGTTGAATTGAAATCTCTATAATTTTTCGACAAAGTCAGCTTACGCGGCAAGCTCAAAGTAATACCGACCTACCCTCGGGCCGTTTTGCGGTTGAAATATGAAACGCGCAAACTGCTATATTGAAATTTCAGATGCAATTTCCTTCGGCAGCCTGCGGCATCCACGGCCAATGCCGTACCACCATCACCGACAATGTTGTACCTAAGCAGCCAGCGAACCAACCAACTAGCACTTTCACCTTCGCCCCTTCTCCTCCTCCTCCTCCTTCACCCAACCCTCCCACCCTCTCTCTCTCTTTAAATATCAACAATATTTCTCCATTTTTTTTTTTCCTGCATTTTATTACCCGATAAGGGAGATCACATCCCGTCGTAATACTTTTACAACGATTTATACGAATAAACAGGGATAACAAATTGTTTATTCGTTCGTTGACAAAATATTTACTTATTTTTTGTTATTATTATTTTTTGGGATAGACATTATTTTAGCGATTTAAATCATTCTTACGCGAAAGTTTGGATAAAATTGTAAATAATATTTCTCATGAGAAATGTCAAGTACACTCTCCCATATCTTTTAATTTTTTTCTGCTTGTTTTTTTGTTTGCATATCTTTCTTTTCTTTTTTATTTGCATCGATTGAATAAAATCTTAAGGGATAAAAATTGTATTGCAGATAAACACCGGGTGGTGGTGGTGCATCAGATAACCTGGCGTATTAGGAGAGTGGGTAAGGGCTTGTAACACGGTGGCAGGTGGATGCATATTCGAAATATGCTACAGTAGTCCGCGATGGCATGCAGTTGGTTGGTATCATCCTGGCTTTGCAAGGAGATAGGTTTATCGCTCGGTAATGTATCAAAGCCAGTTGGCGACCGATGCTCCACTTTGGACATTGCTTGCTTGCTTGCTCTCCTGAAGCAACCCTTATGGTCCCTTCTCTCTCTCTCTCACACACATTTATTCACTCATTCTCTTTCTCTTTCTATTCAATACTCTAGTCTACTGAATGTAATTTCCTTTGTCATTAACGACGATCATTTTCCTATTAATTAACGCTTAATCTTACTCACTCTCTGATTATTCCCTATTATCCACAACGATGTTTTAGTTCATTCTTAAGTAATCAGTAACACATTCTTTCTCTCTCTCTCTCTTTTTCTTACTCTTTTTCTTTATCATTGATGACGAAAATTTGTTAATTAATTTATGCTTAATCTTATACCTTTTTGATTTATTACTTATGTCATACAAATGTAGTCGAGTTCATTCTGAATTTCTGAGTAACACATTCTCTCTTTGTCTTTTCCTCCTCCAATCAAAATTGTTCACGCAAATATTCGAGTTCATTCTGAATTTCTAAATAATACATTCCCCCTTCCTCTCTTTTTCTCCTTCTTTAATATTCTGTCAAACCAAATCATCCACGCAAATATTCGAGAAAATTCTTAATATCTGAATAACGCATACAAGATGTTTATTAATATTTTAAACTCTTTGTTTTATACTTTTATTAAATATTGTTCATTACATAATTTTAATAAGGATGTTCAAAACGCAATTTAGTTTCCTGAAAAAAGTAACAAATTATAATATTTATTTATCGTATCGTAAACTTATACTCTCTTACAAATTAAAAATCATAACCGCTGAAATTTTCAGATATTACTTGCTTTCATAAAGCAACAACGTTTAACTTTCTACCTCAAGGATTTTTACTCCTTTTATTCCTACTAAAAAAAAAAGAAAGCAGAAGAGAGTTTCGAATGATTAAAAATCTATTTTCTATCGACGTTGAATATTCGTCAGGAAAGTTATTTTTAATATTGTTAAAGAATGGTGACACACATGTGGTTCTACGTGAAAAATTGGCGGATCGATTAAGGAATAGGAATACGTATGGGATAAACTATGTTCGACCACGAAAAAGATTCATTCTCGGTTATGCAAGCTCGCACAAGCATAAAACTCGTTATTCTTAGGTCGAAATGTTCTTTGTCTATTCGAACTTCATTCCCTTTTTCAGTGTATGTATGTACGAACGTAGGAATACGTACGTTTGTGTATAGGTGTATGTGCGAGTGTACGTGGACCGAATATGGTCCGTATATTTCGTCTTGTCCTCTTGAAACACGAAAGTCTCTCTTTCTTGGCACACTCCTTCCTTATTCAGGATTAGAGAGTATGTCTCTGTGGCTACAGATATGTGTATGTGTATATATGTACGTGTATGAACCTACGTGTGTATATACTTATATGTATGTAAGTATGTACGTGTAAGTACATTCTCGGCCACCTAAGCTGACTCCTTTATCCTTAGATTTTTATCTCTTCCTTGCCATGGTTCCACTCTAACCTTCTCTTTCCTTCTCCCTTTTTCTCCTTATCCAATCCTCCTACTTCCTCCATACTCCTTTTCCACTAGCCTGTCAGTGCATATCCGTCCTTAATTCTTATTTCTCGCAAGACTCTGAATACAGTGCGCTCGTTCCATGTAAATTTATAAACAAATCTACTTTTCCTCTCTCTCGCGCGATGAAACTTTACGTTACATCCTTCTCATCCCTTTCTTTTTATTTTACTTCAAATCCTACTTTTTGTTTATCTTTTTCTCTTTTATTTTTTTCCTCTTTTTCTTGACTTTTTCCGATATTTTATGTAATATTTTTATGTTTTTTTTTTTTTTAAATTTTTTCAAAGTTTATCATTCTTAGTTGTTTTTTTAACAAGAATTATTCTTAAACAAATTATTATTTAAAATTATTGGAATATAAGTACGTGCATTACGACCAAATCAATTTTTAATGAATATTTGTGAATTTGGTCTTGTCATATTAAATATTTTTGAGAGGATAGATAAGAAGAGGTGATTTTTATCTTTCAAATGGTGTTTTTTTCAAGTCTCTATGTTGTTTCGTTCCGGAGATATAAGTTTTTAAAAATTTCATTGAAAAAATGCAATGAACTGATGACGTGTACGAGTCGTAGTAAATAGTAGTACGTACCGTTTACGTCGAACAGCTGAT